GTCCGCCCTGCCCCCGGCCGCTTCGCTACCCGCCGCGACCGCGGGCTACGAGGCGCTGTTGGCCCCGCCACTCCGCCCCCCGCGCGGTTACCTGAGCCTGCACGAGGCCGCCCCGCACCTCCACCTGCCCCGGGACCCTCTGGCCCTCGAGCGCTTCTCGGCCACTGCGGCCGCGGCCCCGGATTTCCAGCCGCTGCTGGACAACGGCGAGCCGTGCATCGAGGTAGAGTGTGGCGCCAACCGAGCGCTGCTCTACGTGCGCAAACTCTGCCAGGGCAGCAAGGGGCCGTCCATCCGCCACCGCGGCGAGTGGCTCACACCCAACGAGTTCCAGTTCGTCAGCGGCCGCGAGACGGCCAAGGACTGGAAGCGCAGCATCCGCCACAAAGGTGCGGCCGCCGTGGGGCGCTGGCCGCCACGGTCCCTCCCCTCCGCTCCCCAAGGACCCGTGGGTCCGGACCCCCCTCGCTCTGCCACCTGGGAGACTCCATCTCCGCCCAGAGAGGGCGCTGCGACTCCGGGGCTGCCGCAGGGACACCCCACCCCCGAAGCACGGTCGCCTTGGTGGGCCCGGGCAGAGCGCCCTCGGCCTCCGCCGTCCACTCAGAGCTTGCCGCGGTGCCGTGGGCTCCCGGCTGCGCACGAGTCGGCAGCTCCTTCCGCCCGGAATATCTTTGCGGGATTCCTGGGACTTGAGGCTCAGTAGAAGTTTACGGGAACTCGGGAGAGCAGGCAGGAGGCCGACTGGGCGGGATACTCCCCTCCCGGGTGCAGGAGCCACCGGTTCTGGCGGGAGTAGAGGGGCACACGTGCGGCCGGGGGGCGGACGCGCGCTGGTGGAGCGAACAGCAAGGTGCAGGGGTGGAGCAGGCAGGTGGGGGCCGCCGGGGCGCGCGTCAGGGCGGGGGCGCGCACGGAGCCGAGCAGCGGCTGGGCTGGGAGCAGCAGCTTGGGCTCCCGCAGGAGTCTGGCTCCAAGGAAGCGACGTGCGGGCGCCTGAGCGGGCATGCTGGGGGCGCGGTGAGCGCCAGGCCTGGGGTTGGGGGTAGTTAGAAAGTTAGGGACCCAGTCGCACTTGTCGACTTCGGGGCTCAGCGGTGGTTCAGCGGTGGCTCAGAAGTGGCCGCCTTCTTCCTGCTGCGAGGTGAGGAGCAGTCTCAGGTTCTGACGGCTCCGCTCATCTGCTCCTGGGCCGGACCTTCCTCGGTCCAGCTCCCGGTTCCCGCGGACGGGCTTGGAGAAGATGGAGCGCGGGAGGAAGAGCTCAGGGGTCAGGGAGGAGGCCGCCCTTCGTCACGGGAGGACGCTCGCCCGGATCTTGAGTTTCTGAGCTCTGCAGATCCCAGAGGCATCCGCGAGCCTGGAGGGCGGCAAGGCCCGGTGGTGGGTCGGGAAGTTGGACAGAGGTGGGTGTTCACACTCGTGGCAGGAGGAAACCCGGCCTTGCCCCTGACAGGGCCCTGGAAGCGTGCCCGCGTGCCCGGCCCTACCTGTGCCCGCCCGGCTCCCTCACTGGTCCTGCCTCGGCTCTCCTCGCAGGGAAAAGTCTGAAGACGCTTATGTCCAAGGGGATCCTGCAGGTGCACCCTCCGATCTGCGACTGTCCGGGCTGTCGAATATCCTCCCCGGTGGTGAGATGTGGGAGAAAAGCTGGGGCTTCGGGGTCTTCTTTCTCCCCCTGAGGAGCTTGTTGTGCCTGTGTTTTCTAGGATCGGTCCTACCTCGACCCTGCCAGTGTGCAGGAGGGTGCCTCCAAAAGGGCAAATAGGAGACACTGCTTTGGGTGGGAGTCCTGATAACCAGAGCCCCCTACCCCCTTGATGCAGGGTCCAGTCCTGCCTATTCTGGAGCCTCTCCTTGGGAGTCTGGGAGCTACTTCTCCTGGAGTCCTGGGGACAGCCCAGGCTGTGAAGGTCTCCTCCCTGGACAGTGCCGTCTGATTAGGGCCTAGGGACTTTGCCCTGCCACAGGTCTCAGGGTGGCACCATGTTATCTGGCCCAGCCTGGGAGAGGGGCTGGACCTAGGTTAACCCTTGTTCTGGAATGTGAGTGTTGGTTGGCCTGGATGTACATTCTGGGGTGGTCAAAGGCTTGGATGTGAGTGCTGTGCACCTCTGGGGTGCCCAGGGTTGGAGCCCTGCCGGGCAAGGCCCTGAGTGTCCAGGAATACCTGGGGATAGAACCCAATTGGGGGCAGAGAGGTGCAGTGTGGGCCTTGGCTGTCAAGAGAACTGAAATTGGAAGTTGGTGTAAGGCCTTCAGTCCACTGTAGACCATCTACCCTAGATGACCCATCTACTGACCTGACTGAGCCTAGGGGAGCAGGAGAGATTGGGGTGCTATGCCTGCCCCTGAAGCCCTGATTTCTCCATCACAGGCCCTCCAGGCAGCAATGGGTTGGAGAATTGATCTGAAAAGGAAATTGCATCTTGAAAGGGACCAGTCTGAGCCCCTGGGGGAAAGCCAGTTAGGGCCGTGGCTCCTGGTGGTGGTTGTGGTTGTGCCGCTATTCCTGGCACCACTCAGCAGCCCCCTCTGCCAGGAAGGCCTGGGGGGGAGGGGGGATCCTTCAGCTTGTTTACTTTGGACTGGTGGTGGGGTGGGGGAGGGGATGGCCCTGGGGGTGGGCATGCTGGGAAGCCGCATACCTGTAAAGACACACAAGGTGGGCAGGGGAAGGGGCTACAGCTGAGCCTCACCGTGTGCCCACCCCACACACTGACACAAGCTCATGGCGCTCACAGGCACGCCGGCCTGCGGAGCCTTTCAGACATAGTGTGTGCACAGGCATCCCCCCTCTTGCCCGCTGCCAGTGTCCCTGCCCGAGCCCAGAGACCAAGCTCCCTCTCCACTTCTGCTCTCTCTCAAGTAGCTAGTGCCAGACAGGGCACCCTCCAGGCTGGTCTGGGGTTTCTGTTCTGGTGGGAGGATACCTGCCTCTCCCACCTGTCCCCGTCTGAAGTTCTCCCACGGTGGGGGGGGGCGGGGGCAGGCGGCCTGAGCACAGCATCAGTGTCCCCTAGGACATTGCTTGGATGGGCACCAGGGATGGAGCCACAGCCCAGGGTTGCCTATCTTTCTGGGGATCCTAGATGCCTGCCCTCCTTGAGGGATGACTCACACCTGGGCCTTCCTCTCTGGAGCCTGTTTCCTCCCAGGGCTATATCTGCACCTCTGCCTTAGGAAGGAGTTCTGTGGACCCCCTTGTCTCTCCAGCCTCCACCTTTTCCACACAGGGACTGTCTTCCCCTACCCCAATGGCCAGGTCCACAGGTATGTGCACACTTTGTGGTCACAGATGATACTCCAAGGGCAGAATGTGGGTGTGCACATGGTGCCGGGGTCATACAGCTGGCCTCCATGCACCCGCCATCACTGATTGAGAGGCCAGTGCTTGGCCTAGTGAGGGCTTAGCACCCAGGTCTCAAATCTGTATGCCGAGCAGGGGTGAGCAGCTGAGGTCTCTAGTGTGCAAGGGAGGTGTGTGTGTTTCCTGTCCTTGGCTGGGGTCAGGGCTTCCCATGCTGGTCCCTCTTCCTCATCCCCTGTCGAACGGGAGTGATCCCAGGCCAGCTTAGCCAGTCTGGCCTCATCCCAAGTGACAGTCCTCCTGCTTTCATTTCTCTCTTCTCCTCCCTGTCCCACAGATGAGAAGCAGAGGGAAATGCAGTTACTTTTCTTAAGACAATAGTGTAGTTAAAGCAGAAAGACAGCAGAGGACATCCTGGTACTTGGGTTACAGAGGGCGAGGGAAGGGCAGAGCTGGGGGGCTTTCCAGCTGCCTCCAGACAGGCCAGGGCTGTTGAAAACCCTACCCACCAGAGCCCACTGTCTGGCATGAAGAGGCATGAGCACCAGACAGGCAGTCACACCTGTAGCCTCACCCAAGCTCTGCTGTTGCTGATGTAGCACGGAGCCAAGACCAGGGTCTCAGAAGCACAGAGCCTACCCTCAGACTCCACTGCCCCACTCCACCCAGCCATTGCCCAGTCCTGCCCAGTATGACACACTTGAGTGTGAGTTGCAGAGAAGACAATGGAGGGTGTTCTGGGTGGATTCATGACGGCAGGGATGGGGGTAACCGGCTCTTGGAGCCTGAGAGGGCAGGGACTGTGGCTCCCAGATCCTGTCAGGGGCACCACCCAAATCTGGGGCTGAGGTGGGCTGTTGTATTTGGAGGTGATGATGGTCTGGGTCTGAAGAGAACCTTCACCCTAGAAGACAGGACTGTGGAGGCTGCACACAGCTGCCCTTCAGATCCAGGGTGACACTGTTCAGGGAGGGGCAGGACCACCCCTGACACCTTCCTCCGCAAGCTCCTGAATGTGGTGGGGACACGTTGTTTTGGCAACAAGAGGGAGGGGCCAAGGAGGCCCCAGTGACTGAAAAGATGGGAGAGAATGAGATAATTTCCAAAGTCCCTGCCACTTCCCTGAACCAGTAACCTGTTATTAAATAAGGAAAGCCTCCTGCCCACCGGAAGATAATTACTTTTCTTTTTCCCTGGGGCAGTGGGACCTGAAGACACCAGCAGGTGCCATGGTGTGCAGGGAGCTTGCCTGTGTGCACGAGTGCTGAGCGTGTGCCACCAGGGTGTGCACGGGCTCTGAGTGCACATGAGCTCTTCCGTGGAGCAGCCTGCGTGCCTGTGCACAGACAGGGCACATCCTCCACTCGAAAGCTCCGTGCCTGCAAGCCCTGCCCCATCACACGTGTTCCACACTCACTCTGCGCGCCCAGGGTAGGAGGGAAGTGGACCGTGTGCAAAACTCCGAAACTCTCGGTTCCTGATCGAGGGGGCAGGCCCACCAGGGCCCGTGGGACAAAGGTTCTGAGCTGGTCAGGGCTCCTTGCCAGGTGACCTGTGAACCAGAGGCCTGCAATTTGCAAGGGGTCAGCTCCAGGCCTCAGGCTTCAAACCCCCTGAGCTGGGCTCTGCTAGGCATTAGCAATAGAAAGAGGACTTGCTATTGGTGGAGGGGTTCACACAATCGAGAAGGATTGCCAGGCAGACATGCATGCAGAGGTAACTGCACGCTGAACGGGTGACAAGGCACACTGCTGTATCTTGTGGGTGCATGTGTCCCCTCGGGGTCCCCTGATGCTGAGAAAGCAGGGGTCTGCCTCCAGTAGGTGTCCACACTCAGGCTGAGTGCTGGTGGAGGGGGACTGTGATGAGTATAGAGTTTGAACAGGGCAGCGCCCACACCCCTACATCTCAGCCCTAGCCAGGGTGGAGTGGAAAGCGGTCTGTGGAGGGCCCCTCCTCTTGTCCTGGCCTCTGGCCAGCTGTGACTTTCCTGATGGCTGGAGGCTCCTCAACTGGAGGTGGAGATGTCGGGGAGCTTTGGCCAGTGACTGTGCCTGTTTGATCTTTAATGGTCCTGCCTGGGGGTCAGGACTGGGGTGCACACCACCCAGGAGACTGAGGGACCCAATTTGGCATGACCTTCCTCTCCCTTCTCCCTCTCCAGAACCGGGGGCGGCTGGCAGACAAGAGGACAGTTGCCCTGCCCCCCACCCGGGGCCTAAAGAAGGAGTTGACCCCCAGCTTCTCCGCCAGTGATGGCGACAGCAACAGGAGTGGCCTGGCCTGTGGGCAGCGGCTGGGCTTGAAGCAGGAGGACGACCCACGTGTCCGTATCATGAAGAGAAGGTACTTGTACGAGGATGGAGGTGGAAGAGTCCACGGGCTCAACAGGGGTGGGGCGCTAAGGCTGCAGTCTCCAGGCAGCTGCAAGCAGGGTCAGGCCTGGGGGTGGGGGGCCTTTGCCCTGTGAACAGGGCCCCGATTTAACTGGTTGTGTCTCCATGGATGCTGACAGCTGCCACAGCTGAAACAAAGCCTGGACCCACCAGGGACCTGCCACAGGATTGCTAATAACCCACTTTGCCCCCACGTGGGGACCTAGTGCCAGGCCAGGACTCAGGTGGCATTGTTGAGGGGCGGGCATCACCAGTGGTGGGCTTGTCATGACCAGAGTGGGCCAGGGAGGGGTCGACATGGTTCTCTGTGGGAGGAATGGAGCTGCTGGCTGCGAGGAAGGGAGAAGTCTCCAGGAGGAGGGTCTGGTGCCACTGCAGCCAGACTGGGAGCGGTGAGCCAGGAGGACCTTCATGGGAGCAGCCCCCTCATCACTCCCACTCACTCTCACGGGAGGTGGCTGCTCCTTTGGCTCCTTACTGTCCCTCCCAGGCTTGGGGCCACCCTTCCTGACCTCCCACATTCTCCCCTCCTGGCAGAGGCACCTCCTTCTGTCCACTCACCTCTTCGTCTGTCCATCCTTCTATCCATCTGTTGTCTGTCCAGCATGTGTTAGGCTTCCCCAGAATTTCTAGGCCTTTTCTCTTCTGACTTAGTCTTTGAGCATGCTTCAATTTCTCCCACCCTGAAATAACGCTGCCACACCCACATGTGTAAGGTGAAGCACCGCGTGGGCACCACCCCTGCCCTCCCTCCACCCAAGGGTCTTTTCAGGGGCTGCGGGAGAGGGTGTGGGCACAGGGCAGAGCTGCTTCCTGCCTTGACTTCTCATCCTGGTGTTCCTCCTGCCTCTGCTGTGTGATGGTCACTCTTGAGAAGCAGGTTGGCAGCAGCTGGGGCCCAGGGGCCTGTACCCAACTGGGCTGAGAGCCAACCACTGGTGCTAGTGGTGACCATGGGGCGGCAGTCCATGACCTGATTCCAGCCTGTCTGGCAGAGCAGCTCCAGCAACTAGGAGTTTGGGTTCAGTTACATGAGTGTTGCATGCAGAGGAAGCCACAGCCCCAACGCCCAGCACAACACTGGGGCTCCTCTGGGTCCACTGCAATGAGAAGCAGAGATCTGGGGCCTCCGTTCTGTCCCTTCTGATTCCTTTGTCTGCTGAGGCCAGGAGCTGGCTCCTGCCCCATGGGCCTGTCCTGGTGGCATCCGGCCTGTTGAGCTGGTACCAGATGGTGCTGGAGGCAGGTCTGAGCCAGCCCAGTTCCCTTGGGGCCGGGCTCTAGGGCAGACAAGGGGCATGCCCCACACACGCCCTGCTGTCCATGTGCCTGAGTCCTGGAGGCCACACTGACCCTCTGCCTCTCTCCTTGCAGAGTCCACACCCACTGGGACGTGAACATCTCCTTCCGAGAGACGTCCTGCAGGTAGGGCGGGGCTCGGGCCAGGCTTCCCCCTACACGCTATACATGGGCAAGGTGGAGCCTTGTTGCTCCACATCCCTTGGGTCTAAGTTTGCCCAGCCTCCCTTCTTCCTCTCCTTAGTCTGTGGTCTGTCTGTTGACTTGTGCCCAGGCCCTGGCAGCAGCACAGGTGCGGGTTCTGGGCAGCCCAACCCTGGAGCCAGAGTGCACTCCCCCTCCCACATTTGAGCCCATCTGCCCAAAGATAAGGCCATGACCGCCCCCTCCCAGAGACCCACCAGGCAGGATGTGAGAATGGTGATGTGTGAGTGGGCTCTTAAAGGATTCATGGGAGTTCACTAGGGAAAGAGGATGTCTGCAAAGACATGGAGGAATGAGGGAAGGAGATGTGGGGGGTGAGGCGGGGAAGCTGGCAGGTCTGGCCCAATTAGATGCTAAAGGGCCTTAGATGCTGGGCCTGCTGGGCATTGTTCTTCAGGTAATGAGGAGCTACCAAAAATTCCTGAGCAGGAGAGTGACCGGTGTATATTTTGCCGAGGTCCTTCTGGAGGCCCTGCCCAGCAGATTGGGGGTTTGCTTCGGCCCACGATGATTCTGGCGTGGTTCCAGCAGAGCTGAGGGGGCTGCCAATTCACGATATAATAAGGAGATAAAATGAGGGGACCTGATGAGGCGGTGGGGTATTGTGGAGCCCTAAGTCCCTGGTTCTAGAAGGGCAGAGGTGGTTGGTCTGTGAGCGGAGCCCAGGCTGTGGTTTCTGGTCTGTGGGGTCAAGTCTTACCCCAGGGCTTCCAGGGAACATACAGGAAGGGCCCAGCCAAGCAGGCAGTGGGCGTCCGGCCCTGAGGGGCCCCACTCCCAGCCTGGCTCTGTGCCAGACGTATTATTATTTATGTTCCTGACAATGTCTGGGTCCTGGAGCCGAATTACAATGAAAATGTCTTTAAACTTATTTCCACCTCATTTTGAAGTTGCCTGCTCAACTGATCATTTTTATGAACCGTCATGAACATTGATGACATTTTATGAGCCTTTTACTTGGGAAGCTACAGGATAAATTTGTCAGTGAAGCCTGTAGGGAAATCCCAGGCTGCTCCTTCGCTCCAGGAACGACATCCCTGCCTGCAGGCCCCTGCTCATCCCACCCCGTCGTGGAGGGTGGGAGAAGGGCCCAGGTGGCCAGACGCAGGGTACCCCCTAGTAAGAGGCCGGCCCCAAGTGTTGGGGGCTCCTTTGGCCCGGCACGAGTGCTGAAAGCAGCTGGGATGATTTTCTGGATTTACTAGCGTGAAGAGTGGCAGGATGTGCAGCCGCGAGGACTTATAGCCCATCTGCCCCTCCCTGCTGATGCAGGACTCCGGTGTCTGGCCAGGGAGGGCTGGGCAGGCACACAGCCCAGCTGCCTAACACTGTCCCTATCCCAACTCTGTCTTTCTCTCTTTCTGGCTCCTTTTGGCCCTGTCCATCTGTCCTCTGTCTCTAGTCTGCTGTCTGTCCTTCAGGCTCTGTCCATCTGTCTGTCTGCTGTTTCCATCATTTCTGTCTGTCTTCACCCATCTGTCCAGTAGTGCCTGTGTCTGTTTGTCCATCTCCATCTGTCTGATCATCTAACTTCTCCAACAGTCTTCCCCTGTCTGTCTGTCCATCAGTTCTATCCCTCTGTCCCTTTGTCCCTGTCCCTCTGCCTGCTTGGCATTCCCCTTTAGGCGCCCACGCATCCCGGGCAACAGGCGGGAGATGTGATCCCTGCTGTCCTGAGGCCCCTGAGCTGGCCAGGAGATGGACAAGGGCTGGACAGTATACTGGTCACTAGAGGAGCCCAAGGGGCCCCTCAAGGGGAGTTGGGGTCTGAGGGTTTACACGTTTTCTGTTGGGTGTTCAGTGAATGACCAAGTGACCACACAGGTTTTCTGGGGCCAGGCCAGGCTGTCTTGGGGCCTGGGGGGCAAACCCCCAAGGCAGAGAGCAGCGGTTTGCTGGGCGGGTTGTGTCCTGATTCCCACTAGGCATCACCTCCATGGGGCTGCAGTGCCACCCGTGTGCCTGAATGACCAGTGAGTGAAAGAGCTATTGGCCATACTGGGGGTAAGGGGAGCAGACCCAGTCCCTGTGTGAGCACTTGGCTGAGGGCTCATGGGGAACAAACCGATGGGGCCTGTTCCCACCCCTCAGTCTCTGGGGAGTTGATCCACCTCCTGCAGGAGTCCTGGGGACAACAGAAGGGGTCCTTCCAAGGGAGAACTCTCTGGCGGCGGCAGCCCTGCCACTAGGTACCCACTCGCCCCCTCCCTGGTGCTGAGGACAGCACTTCTCTCTTGTGCACCCCCTGCACTGATGAGGGTGGAAGAGGGGGTGAGAACTGCTGCCGATTAATCCCATAAAGTACTTATTCCCATTCCAACCTGCCCTCTTATTGCGTGGGGGGTGGGCTTCTCTCCTCCAGAGGAAAGGGGTGGGTGGGGGAAGAGCCTGCATCAGTGTCTCCTAGACGCTCTAGAGCCCAGCCCTGGAGGCTTTGGTGCTGAAACTGATCTGCTTAAGGGCCAGCTCTGGATTAGCCTGCTCCAGCCACCCGGGCTGGGGGGGGGGTTAGGGGCTATTTAATGAGGTTTAGGGTCGGTTCCCAGGTCACTCCGTGGAGGCCCCCCTTGCAGCAGCCCAACCAGGAAGCTGCTCCGTTACAGGTGGGCCAGGTTGCGAGGGTGCTGGGGAGGGAGTGCTGGGTTGCCACAGGGTGGGCTGGGGTCCCTCCCTGCTCCTCATCTGTCCTGTCCTGACTGCCTGCCACTCCAGGCTGCATCTGCAAGGTGGCCAGTGGCCCTCCTCTGTGCTAAGAGAGATGCTCTCAGAACCCCCAAAGCAAATGGGGAGGGGGACCACTCACACAGTCACACTGGGATTTCTCAATCCCTCTTTCCTCTGGAGTTCCGAGATACAGGAATTGAGCTGATTTAGCAGGAAGAGAAACGAGGGAACAGAGAGTTAAATTCATGTTCGTTCCAAGGTTCCTGGTGGGGAGCGCAGGGGAGAGCAGAGTGTCTTGGCATGAGCACACAGGCGGCCACAGTACGCGTCAGTGTCTGTGTGTGTCTGCAGGCCCCATGAGAGTGTGCGTGTAGCCATATGTGTCCCTTGACGTGCACACACCTCACTGGCTGCAGACTTTGGTCTCAACCTTGGTTTCCTTATTTGAAGAAATCAAGAATCTGTGGGTGGTTGCGAGTCTTAGTTGAAATGGTGTGGGCACAGTAGTAAGTGCCAGGCCCACATGTTCTCACTAGCAGCCTGTGCCCCAGGAGCAGGCACCCCACCCTGGCCGGGGCCTGGCTGCCCTCCAAGGCAGTCCCCCAAGGCAGGAAGCAGGGACACAGATGCTGGTCGCTCCAGAGAGAGTGTGGCAGGACTGGGCAGGCCCTGTGCTCCACACAGACCCTCCCTGGGAACGGCAATGGGGTCTGAATGCAAGGCCTTCATGTCCAGCAGATACGTGGCAGGTCCTGGTGGTTCCAGGTGGGGCCTGGATATAGCACGGTGAGACAGCACAGCCACTAGGAGATGCTTTGCTTAGGACCTGCTATGGACAAGCTCACACAAATGATGTCATGAGCCACCGCAGAGGTGTACACGAGGCATTGTCACACGTAGGCCTGTCCCCTAGGCCATGCATGCTCACACTCAGGCTCAGTCAGGAGCCCACAGGGTCTCACCTTTCCCGTCTTGCCTCGCTGCAGCCAGGACAGCGACCTTCCCACCCTCATATCCAGCGTGCATCGAAGCCGCCACCTCGTTATGCCCGAGCACCAGAGCCGCTGTGAATTCCAGAGAGGCAGCGTGGAGATTGGCCTAGGATCCGCAGGTGAGGAGCCAGGGGTGTGCTGGGAGGTGAGGACAGGGCTGCCAGGGCCACGGCAGCCCAGCCTGAGGACAGCCCGCCCCACAGTTCTCCCCGTGTCTCTGCTCAGCGGCTCTGATGCCGCCACCCCCAGCAGCTTTGGCAGGCAGCCAGGGAGGCCAACAGAGGAGGCGGGAGGTGGCGAGGCCGGCTGTCCCCCGGGGGCTCCATGTGATGGTAATTGTGTTAATCCCAGCCAGCCGGGCAGACAGGAGGCGGAGGCGGTGGCTCCACCATGGCTGCTGCTGGGGTGGGCTTGGAGTGGCCGAGGCCACTGCTGCAGCCTCCTCCCAGGGGCAAATGGAGGCAGGGCGGTCAGGGAGTGTGGTCTTCCCAGAGGCTCAGAGATGCGCACCTGGGAATGGCTGACTTGAGGGCAGGGACGCACTCTGCATGCACAGGAGTACCCACCAGCCCCATGCAGCACAGGGCCCGAGGAGGGAAGGTGTCCACCCCTGAGAAAGCAGGGCTAGAGCCTGGACCTCTGCGGGAGGATGCTTGCCCAGGAGCTGTGTCCCTGCAGAGGGCGGTTCCTGGAGGCAGCAGGAGCCCAGAGGGAGGGGCAGCTTGGGGACCCATGAGGCACTGCTGCAGAGAGTAGGGCACAGCCGACAGGGCAGGGGTGAGAGCAGCTGGCAGGGGTCCCTTGCTGCCCTATGGACCATGGCAGGGAGGTTTCTAGCAGCGGCTGCTGCTCTCAGGAAGGCTGGGCAGAGGATGGTCCACTACCCTGGGACCCCCATCAGGGCCTCCAGGTGTGCCTGTGCCTGGAAAGACCTTTGGCAGGGGAGCTGCTTCTGGAGCCATGTTGGAGGCACTGAGCAGGCGGCTGATAAAATCTAATTGTCCCATCGATCGGGTGAGCCTCCGGAGCCCTGTGATGATTGAGATATTCTAAGCCAGCAGGCCCTCCCTGCTGCCTGCACACACGGAGACCTCCACATAGTTCCTGGCATGAGTGTGGATGTGCGGAAGCAGGCCTGTGTGCCTTGGTCTCAGCCAGAGGCCCGGGCGTCCACTTACACCCGTGGGACACAGCCGGGTCAGGGTGTCCTGGCTGTCTTCATGCTGAGGTGTGGGACGTGCACATGAGCACCTCAGGTGTCAAGCACGGCCTGGCGAAGTGTCACGTGTGTGTGCTGTGTCCAGGTTTTGTCAAGGTCCTGCCCTCTCCTTGGGACTGTCATTGTCTCCCACTTGTTCCTGTCAGCCCTTGGGTGGAGACAGTCACCTGTCGTCACCTCCTCTTCCCCAGGAACACATGTCAACCTGCTTTCATTCCGGGCAGGAAGGGTCAGGGAGGACTGTGACAGGCTCAGGGAGGGGTCCCTGCCAGGCATCTTGAGACCGTGTGTGTCTGCTTCTGGCTGCCCCAGGCGTGTCTGTGAGTAGATGTGGACTTCATCAGGGAATGGTGAGCCCCCAGGACCCCATGGCAGGGTCTCACCACAGTCACGGGCCTGCGTCTTACCATGGGTCCCCCTTCCATCCCCAGAGCCCCTCTCTCGGGCAGAGAGGAGCCCCCAGCCCCCAAAAGAAAGGAGGAATTCCCACTGTGGAAAATGACAAACAGATCGCAGGGAAGTGAGAGCCTTGTGTTGTTTGCGAAGTCCTGGAGGGGTGTGTGCCGGGCAGGGTGCGGCAGCAGGTGTGGACCCAGCCCAGACCCGCCTCCCAGGCACAGCTGGGTGCTGCAGCCCTGCTGGCCCAAAGCTGTTGGGGGTTGTCTTTGACCCATCCTGCCAGCTCACTGAGGCAGGACCCTTCGTCTGGGCAGTGAGGACCGAGGACCTCGTCCTTGTCCCTCTCAGGGCAGGGCCTGGGGCTAGACTTCTGGGCTTAGGCCAGTTGCAGGAGATGGCCAAGATCAATAAGTTATTAGCACCATTCTGTCAGCTGTAAAGTGGAGATTGATCGGCACTCCGCTGCTGCCGCACTTCCCTGCCTGATAAAAATGACAGATTAAGGGAATAAGAAAAAGGAATTAGGCTCTGGAGCTGACGGCAGGGCTTCTTGGGAGCTCCCCTTGCCGAGGTGTCATGGCGGGCCTGGGTCACAGAGGGGGTGACCCTCTCATCCTACCCACCCAGACAGACTGGTGAGGATGGAGAAGGGGCCAGGAGCACGGGGTCTGGACTGGAGGCTAGCACTGTGGTGGGTCCAGGAGACCAGCACAATTGCTGAGCTATTCAGCGGAGACCTCCCAGGCCCTGGGCTGAGGAGGGAACTTGGCATCAAGGTGCCAGGGGCTGAGTTGGAGAGAGGCTGGCTCGGGGAGATGGATGAGTATGGTTTGGAGGTGGGACCTGAGAGAGGACTTCAGGAGAGGGTTGGAGTGGGGCCTGGGCTGCGTGTGGGGCTGTACACAGCAGGTGAAGCTGCTTGGGGTGCCTTTGGGAACTCAGCCCAGCTGGGCAGGAGGGCAAGCGTGTGACAGGGCCCTTCTGGGGGCAATGAGGGGTGTAGCCTGTGGGGAGGGGCCCAGGGGGAGTGGATGTGGCGAGGGGCCTGCAGCCTCTAGGAAGAGGGTGGGGGACCCTGGCATGGGACCTGCACTGTTGGTCCTCACCCCTGTCATGGGAGAAGAAGGTGGTTTCCAGTCAAATCCAGATGCTGAGGAGGGCTCCTTAATCTGGACAGGAGACTGGCCTGGCTGGATGGGGGGCCTGTGGGGTCCTCAGTTACTCCCTGAGGCTGTCACACTGAATCTCCTACCACATCTACTTGCACACAGCCCAGAGCCCAGGGTCCAGACTGTCCCATGCCCTCGCCCTGTCCCAATCCCTCATGCTGTTCTAGAGCTGCAGTTCTGGGACCCTGGGCTGGGCAAGCCAGGATTCATGGGCACCCAGAGCAATGACGGATGTGGTTCTGGGCTGAGCTGGAGCCAGGCTGGGCCTGAGGCCAGTATTGGGGTGGGCCTCGAGACACAGATTGGGGCTCACTCCGCCCTCCCCCAGGTGACCTGCTGGGCAAGAGGCTGGGCCACTCCCCCCACGTCAGCAGTGACTGCCCCTTGGAGAAGAAGGCCCGAAGCAAGTCCCCACAAGGTGGGAGCCCAACCCCCCGGGGGTGGTGGGGAGGCAGTGGAGAGGGAGGGGAACAACCTGGACCCTCTGCAGGGCAGGGTCAGCCCAGCAGCAGGTTCTAAGAGGGGAGGCCCTGCCTCTCCCCCCTTGGCAGTATCTGAAGGGGAAGCACCCCACCTGTGCTTGCCCAAAGCAGAGACTCTGTTGCTGCCGGAACTAGGGCCCAGCATGGCCCCCGAGGATCATTACCGCCGACTGGTGTCTGCCCTGAGTGAAGCCAGCACCTTTGAGGACCCCCAGCGTCTCTACCACCTGGGACTCCCCGGCCATGGTATGTGCCTTCTCCCTACAGCGTGAGTGTCCACCCACGTGTCCTGGGCTCTCCCTGTCGCTGGAGGTCTCCGCTTACCCTGAAAAGAGGCCCCAGGGTCTTTGGCAGCTGATACCAAGGCTGGGATCGGATGCGGGTCTTTCAGACCCTAAAGCCTCAAAGCCCTTGTAGGTGGGCAGTGAGGCCTGCCTCCTTCTCCCAGATGCAGCTACTTGTTTGGGTAGATCAGGGGGCTGGGGGGATGCACCAACAGATCCCCTGTGCACCCCCCCCCATCCCCACCATCTTCCACAGACTCTCCCAGCAGGGCCTCTCATGAGTACTGAGATTTCACAGATAAGGAAGCTGAATCTCTGGGGAGCCCAAGCATAGGTGGGGGTTTCACCAGGCCCATTTCCCTGTCTCCAGCACATGCAGGTTTTTGTGGATCCCCGGTCTGGACAGCATGGTCTGTACTCTGTGGTCCTTCCTACTCCAGACGCAGTCAGGGCACCAGTGGCTGAGCGAGTGCAGGCACGTCCTCTAGGAGGGAGATTGGGGGAATTGGAGAGGCCAAGAGGAGAGGAGCAGTCAGCCCCAGAATATCCACTGTGAACGTCCGTCCAGAAGCAGGATGGGCAACAGTTGGAATTTGGTCACCAGGATTTCACTGGTGCTCAGGAGAAGCCCCAGCTGGAGACACCGTCCCTATCCCACCCAGCTCCCAGACAGCTTCCATCCATCTATCCATCCCTTCTCCCACAGACACTTGGAAGTCTCCCTACCATCTCAAGGGCACATTCTGGCACCCTGTCCAGCTGCACCTTGACCTTGCAGACTCCAGCCCAGGGGGTGGGGAGGGAGCGGGGGACTTGCCTTTTCTGGCAGGAGGCGGGTGAGGGGATGCTGGGAAACGAGGCCGGATTTCCTCTCCTTATACACGCACTGTCCCCCAGGGCAGTCAGGCACCGAGAGCCTGAATAATTCACCAAATGTTAATAATTTAAAAATCTTCCTTTTTAATTGCTTTGCCTGCCCTGCCTGGGGCCGGCTTCGCTGGCCTGCGCGGGGGAGGGGCGCCGGCCGCGGGGAGCAGCGCGGAGCCGGGCTGTCAATCAGGCCCCTGCCCGCCGCCCCCGGCGGAGGCCGACGGTAAATAACGGAGGCCGCGGGCGGGTGGGGGCGCGGGGCCCTGCCGGGATCGATGCGGGCGGCCGCGCCGGCTGGGCTCTGCGGGCTGGCACCCGGCCCGGGGCAGGACCCACCTCCGCTTTTCGGGTAATTAATTTATAAACAGGCGGTGGCAGCGGAGCCTGCACAGTCGGGGAGCTGCGGGAGGCGGGTACTCTGAGGCCGGGTCCTGCGCCGGAGAGGAGGCGGGGGAGGGGGGAGGCAGCAGAGTGTGTAGACCGCACAGTGTGCCCGGGGGTTACCTAGGAGAGGTTTGGAGACTTGACTGCCACTCCTGGACTCTGGTCCCACTGCGCTCACTTTTGAGCCTTTGCAAAACCCCTCCCCTCAAGGCCCCTGCAGCCTTGCTCTCCGCAATCTGAACTCGTCAATGTCAACATTCGAGCAGCACCAGATTCCCCTGACTCGGGCCTTTCCCTCCAGCCCAACCACTTTTTGGTGCCTAACATCCTCATATCCCTTACAAACGTTCACCTGCCCCCACTCCCCAGGACTGGTGGGTGCCTCTAGCACGCGTTGCACTGTAATGACTTGTGTCTGCCCTGCCCAATGGCCTTCTGCTCATCTCTTTGTCCGAGTGACCAACCAGCAAGGTCCATGGGAGAATGTGCTCCCCGTCTCCGTGTCCCTGGCCAGTGTCCTATGCTCAACAGGGTTGGGGGGAGCTTAAGAGCCTGGGGGGCTGGTCCCTGGGTCACTGCTGTTGACCCCCACCCCACCCATCCCCAGATCTCCTGAGGGTCCGGCAGGAGGTGGCAGCAGCAGCTGTGAGGAGCCCCAGTGGCCTGGAAGTCCACCTGCCCTCAACCACAGCAGGGCAGCGTCGGAAGCAGGGCCTGACTCAGCACCGAGAGGGCACCGCCCCGGCTGGCACCCCGTCCTTCTCAGAGAGGTATTGGGGTGCCTGCATTTCAGAGTCCTCTGCTTTCCCTGTGTTGTTTCTGGGGTACATAGCTACGGTTGACAGGTCTATCACCTGGTTTCTGCGGGTCATGTCCACAGCCTGCACCCCACCCCCCACCTTGTGGTCACCGGTGTACACAGCCTTCCGCAGCCCAGCTGCAGGCCGCCGAGTGCTGATCGTGTTAGACACTGCTGAGGCCTAGATTCGTAAACATCCCTGGGGTAGAATGTGTGGGGGTGACCACCCCTCTGGACGGGGTATTGAGGGCCACTCTCATCTCCAACTGGAACCCGCTGAATCCAGGTGCCCCTGAGGGCTATGCTCCCTCAGTAGGTGGGTGGGTGGGGCTTGAGGCAGATGAGGGGGAGCAGCTCGAGATCTCTAAACCTCGAAGTCGGAGGAAAGCTGGGAGCGGGGAGAGCCCCCCAAAAGCACCGATTCAGACACCAGAGTTCCCGCCTTCTGGGCTTGTGGGGGCCTGGAGACCCCAGGAGTAGGGTGGGGGCGGGAAGCCGCTGCTCCCCGCCTCTCCCGCTGGGAGGCCAACTCGCAACCC